TGCACTTGTGCACTTTCATCTGCCACGTAATTAAGACATGTGCTCGTTATACACATAGTTGTGCGCCAGTTTTTTAGTTGTGCACATTTGTTAATAGTTGTACTTTTGGGGTTTCGCTATTTTTTAGTTTTACCTTGTTATGAAAAACAAATTTTCAGTTGTACATGTGATTTTGGAACTGGAATCACATTTCTTATGTTTCCATGTCAAAATATCTGGAAGACCACATTTCCTATCAATTTTTGCATAAGAAAGTGTATAGCATTATGAAACCTCTCTTAAAAGTATAAGGAGATTGATAGAAGATTCAAAATATAAAATTGCATAAATCGAATATTTTAAAAATATCAATTATAGCGAAATAAAATAACTAATATTGTACTTTTACTAAGAAATTTCAAAACAAAAAATAAATATTTATGATTTTTTAATACTAAATATTACTTTTTATATGATATGAAACATGTATTTTACTAGTAAAATATTTTTTGTTGCCAAAAATACAAATCGATTTTTTTTTTAAATATTCATTCATCAATTAAATTACTACTAAGAAAATTGGCGTGAATAATTATAAAAAAAATTATAATTGGATATATGACTACACTAAGTGATGCTATAAAAAATTACGCAATAAAAAATCCTGAAAGCATCGAGGTGCAAATAAAAGATCCTTCGCAGTTGTCCGGAGTGTGATGGTGGAAGACCGAATACAATTGTATGTGGCGGTGAGATTCATGAATTGGTTACGAGTTGATCCGAGATGAGAAATAAAAACCTATATTTTTTATTTATTCAATTAATAAAATATCATGGAAAATAGTGATACTATAATATTGTGTATGTTAAAAACAATATAAACAAAATTGCTCTTATACATTTTACACACACATAAATATGATGACTTTCAAAGGTCGCATAAAAATGTCACAAATACGTAACAATTTTTGTGAGGCACTCCGCACTTGTGACCAATGATATATATTATGTAACCAACCTTGCAGTTCTATTACAAAGCTACAACGATATAACAGGGGTTTCAAATTGAGAACCTGCGACCGATTTGGAAGGTATATTTTAAACAAGTTGAATATAAGAACTAAAAAGGTTTCAATTATAAATTTATTTTTAATATATTAAAATTTCAAATAATAAAAATACAAAAGAAAAAAACTGATATTGACAAAACTATCCTTTAAGCAAAAAAAAAACTATGAAACATGTAATGTATAATACAAAAATAAACTTTATGGAGTCGTTGATTGTTGCTATGGCGTTCTAGATCATATCGTAGAACATTTGGTTTTGCTCTGCGATCTACTCGAAGTAGACTTATATAGCTCGTAAAAGTTTTTCAAAATGTCGTAGCTTGGTTATTTGATTTTTGATACAACTTTGTGTCGTTCCAATTTTTCTCGCAATATGAAGCTTAATTTTCAGCAGAAAGAGTTGGATATTCGCATGAAAATGGTGGATCCAATTGCACCGCGTATGCTTCACATTGTATGGAACTTATTTTGTAAATCTTTTTTTCTCCTGAATAAACAAAAGTTTAATTTTTAGTGGGAAATTTATCTTAAACATATAAATATAAATAAAATAATTTCATATTGAAAATTATATCAAATTTTTTTTTCTTATCATGAGATCAGTCCGCCAGATTGGATCGAGCTTTCAACGTTATCAATGTCGGAGCACACATGTGTGTTTTTATGACATTTGTTTGAATTGTCTTAGAAATTTTTCTGACGTATTCATTTTTGACAAAATTAGTAGTATTTAGTGAAAGGGACAATTGCAAAAATGCTACTTTGGTGTGTACATTTGCAAGAATATCATTTAGGGGTGTTTATTTGCAAAAATACCACTAATTATGG